TTTCATAGCTGCTACGCACATCCGCAAATGTGTTTATATCACTATCTCAGTTATCGCTCCTCACTACAGTTTTAGTTCTAGTGTCTTTAGTTACATTTGTAGGGATTGTAGAGTATGTGCTTTATAAAAATGAGTGAAACACCAAAGTTTTGAAATCCAAAAAAGGTAACTGATGAAGAGTTATTGGCGATATTAGAAACAGACGCTTACGTTAGTTATGTTAATGGTACTAGAAGGTAGTTATCGAAGAGACTAATATACATATTAACATAAATTGATAAGGAAGATAAAGTGTTGCACATTAGTGATGGTGAGATCAGTATTCAATCAGTTAATTATAACTGTTTGACTTACTAAGAGGATAAAGAGAAGAAAATGTAATATACAAAATGTTTCAACAGGATTGACTAGATACAGTTCTCAATTTTCCACCATAAAAGAATAACCATCTGAACACTTGTGCGTGTATAAGCAGTTGGTCCCATTCCAAGACAAGGCTCCTTTTCGGGTTTACATGAAAAGTAAGCCGGACAAGTACGGTTTAAAGATTTGGGGCGTGGCTGATTTTAATTCGGTGTATACAGCCAAAAACAGGATGTGACGTGGCACTCCAGGAGTGACCGAGAAGGGGAAGCATGGCCTACTTATTGTCTACGCACAGAGAGATGGTTTTTAATTTAATTCAATTCAATTCGATTTAATTTTATTTTCTTTTGTTTTATTTTTATATTTTATTTTACTAAGAAACGAGTATAGAACTATGTTTACTACTCTACGTAGTGTGTGGACACGAAATCTGTCGTTACATTGCGTTTCTTTTGTTTTTCATTTTTCACCCTCGGCGTGATCCATTGCATCGATCAATTCATTCCAAAATTTAATATACTTTTAGGCAAAGAGGGAAACAAACCTAAGTAAGGCCAAGGACAAAGGGTTATAATGTACCTGGTATATCATTTCGAGATCGGTCAAGTATTACGTAACGCAATAAGGCCAAGGACAAAGGGTTATAATGTACCTGGTATATCATTTCGAGATCGGTCAAGTATTACGTAACGCAATTTGGGGGAAGGGGGTATTGCAAAACGTTACATACGTTACAGTTTTTTTTACTTAAAGAAAAAAAATTATGGAATTAAAATCTCTCAAAGTAGCAATCCTTTTCGTTTATGTTTTACAGGGAATCCCTCGCTTTTATTGTACAATATTGTTTGTTTTGTTCATTTTGTTTATGTTTTATGGGAAATCCTTCGACTATATTGTATGTACTTTTTATTTTGTTTTTGTTGTCAGTATTACACAGAAACCAGTTGCTGTTGTCAGTGTCATTAAATTGAATTCATACTGTAATGTCATTAAAACTTGAACAAAAAAACGTGAAAATTGAAAATACAAAAAGCCTGAAGATAGCTTTCGGGGTCCAGCAGAACCTAATCTGGCATGGTATAGCACTCACATCAGTAAATCACAATATTTCTTGCAAATAATTAAATGAGCGGACGAATGCTGCTGTCGCCGCTCGAAGAGTGCATTGACATCTGTCTTTCCGAATTTCCTGCAGTGAGGTCCTTCAAAATCCTACAAATCCAAAGTAACCTCATGGTTCACTTCACAACTTGTTCTTGATATTGCCAGACAGCGGCGATGTTTTTTATGCGCCAGAAGTAAAGACAGGAAATCTCGAAAGTTTTGTATTCGGTGCAATCAATACATAGTATATGTGTATTTCAAATTTGTCTAGTCGTTTATCAATATTTACAGGATATAAAAAATACATATTTTTTACAATCAGAATGTATTCCTTAGTTATAATAAAAAAAAAATAAGCCAAATCTGTTAAGGTACATTTATTTAATGTAGAAATTTTATTTCTTGTACTATAATCTGCTTTATCCACTTTTTGTAGTTGTCTAGATCTCGCTTGAATTCCCTTAATTTTTACTTGTACATCTTTGTAGATTTTCGGAAGGCCTTACAAAAAAATCAAATGACATAACTTATGGCAGATACTAACAGGATTAGGCGTACCATAATATCTGATTTCCTTAGAAGTAAGCTAACAAACCATACCACTGGATCAGTAAAAGTGCTTGACACATTTTCAAATGAATTCCACTCAGAACAAGGTATCAAGCAAGAATATATACTGTCTCCACAATATTTAATATCTATCTCATCATCACCATCACGGTGCTACAACCCTTAGAGCCTCGACTGTCACACGCTTTCTGCTCAAGTCTGTTCTGTCCCTTGCTTGGACCGGTGTTGCAGTTGACAACACCAATCTTCTCAGCAACCCGTGTTATCCCGTCTATCCACCTCAGCTTTGGCCTGTCCCGTCTTATTCCACCGGCTGTGCTGTTAAATCCTTTTTATCCTGTACGATTCCGGAGCACAGCAACATGTACTACACACTGAAGATGATTTCGCTTGATTAAAGTGGTAATATCTTTTCCACCAAACTTATGCTTGTACACATTCTGCAGTTGAAAGTTGTAGCTATAAGTACTTTAATAGGCCATAATATCACTTATTTGCAATGATGATCCACATGTTTATTTCCCTGCTGTGTTATTGGGGTTAACCAATGTCTCTAAATATATGAACTCTTTGACCACTTCGTAGTTTTGATCATTCACAATTACATCTACTTCAATGTTTCTGTTTATGTTAGTCAGCATAAATTGGGTTTTATTTTGATGTTGACATAAACACATTTGTTCTGCTGCTGTTACAAACTTGGTTAGTATTTCTGTGCTTCTTACTCTGGTTCCTGTTGATTAGCTAGAATTTGGACTGGTCTATTAAAAAAAATTAGCCTCTCTGTCTGAATTAACCCCCCCCCCCCAAATTTGGTTGATCAAATTTGGTTGATGAGTTGTTCTGGCCATCGGTTTCATGGCCATTTATTATAGGATTTATCATACTTGGGTATAAGTTTTTTTGGTTTCTTAAACTTTTTAAATAATATAATGTGGTAATCAGTTGGTAACAAAACTTCTTCAGTTTTCCACAATGTTTTATTTGTTATCCACAATTTACTCAGAGTATTGAGAGAACAATGTTTTTGTTTTGGGCACTGCATCCATCACAAAAGATTGATTTTCTTTATGCCTGGATTCAATATAAGAAAAGCTCTGGTGGCCAGACAGATTTAAGAAGCCTTGAAAACAAAAACCAGTAAGAATATAAGACATTTTGAAAATAAATGCACTTTTAAATGGCAAATACACTGTTTTAGTTCATAAAATGTTATTCTAGATCTCAAGAAAGTTATAATGTGTTTAATAAAATAAAAACATCGAGAAAAGTCAAAATTTTGGATTTAATACACTTTAGAAATAAGCTCTTCAATTATATAACTACATTAAATAAAAACTAAAACTTAACTCACATTATTTACTAATTTATTCAGGATCACTAGTATCACTGTCATCTTCTTTATTTTTATTTTGTTTATTGTTGGTAAATATTCCATATATTCATTTTCTACCTCACTTACATGTCATTAAATCTGGACCCTGTGAAGGATGTTCTGCATACCATGGACGGAGAGGGTAAGAAATGTGGAAAACAAGGAAGGCCAAATATTGAAAGAGAATTGCTCAGCTGCTCAGATCAAGGTATGAAAATTGGATATCTGAGCCATATCCTGAGAGGGAAATGATATGCAATCACTCAACTAATTATCCAAGGAAAGATTGATAACAAGAGAGGTGTAGGTAACAAATGTTGTGGCTATAAAATGTAAAGAACTGGACTGGCATAAATAAAAATGGTGAGCTCTGTCATGCCTTGAAGGATAATAGACATCTGGTATTTAATCTAGTTTAATAATAAGGACTGATTAATGTAAAGGAATGAATGTATGTCAAAATAAACATGAAAATGATAATAAGTTTAATCAAATACTAGCAATTAATATATGTATGCTGTTAAAAAGAATATGGGTACAAAGAAGAACATTGATTGTAAAGTAAAGATCGCTTTTCCATATACTAAGACATCTTCTTCTTCAGGTGCCATCTCCGCTACGGAGGTTGGCAATCATCATAGCTATCTTAATTTTTGAGGCATTAGCTCTAAATAGTTGTTTTGAGCTGCATCCAAACCATTCTCTCAGGTTCTTTAGCCATGAAATTCGTCTTCTTCCGATGCTTCTTCTGCCATCTATTTTTTTCTACTAAGCTTACTAAGACATAAATACAGCTAATACAATATCGCATCATATCATGTATTATAAGCCTATTTATTTGGAACCGTACTTATACCTAGATTTATAAAAAATGATACTATTTGATTTTGTTAACCATTTATTGTTTATTTTGTAAGGTGTTGACCTCCTTTTAATTACTCAACAAACGGAGAAAACATTTCTTACATAAAATAAAAATATTTGTTTAGCTGCTAGAAATAGAATTGTAACATCAAAAGATTATTTTATTTTACTATTTTCAATAGAGTTGGAATGTTTAACTTGACATGGAAATTTAGTAGTTGTATAATAAAATAAATGTCTTGGTTCAGAGTTTAATATATTACTAAACAATGTATTAAAACATCTATTATTCAATTTCTATAACTTATTTCACAGATACCTTTTTCTCTAGAAGAAAAATTAAGAAACAGGTACAGAGATTTTCACAAACGCCCATTTTATTTAGACGAACATGACATCATATTTAGACGTTTATTTCAGATATAGAAATGTTTTAACTTACCTTCGGTTGCCATGGGTGAATCTGATTCTTCACTGCAGCCGCTGTTATTTTAATTTTGTTCTAACAGTTAGAAATAAACAAAAATTTACGACCTCCACTTTAAATCTACACTATAAACAGTAATTGTGACAATTAATGACACATGTCACTACTATTAGTATCCAATTAGTGCATGTTCTTGCACTTGTTAGTATTTTGACATAATATTAATATGAAATCTGTCAACCAGTGTATTCGGAGAACAAAAGTGTACTCTGTAGAACAAATCAATGTTTGAAGGTGCAGGTTAGGTTATTGTTTACAGTCAAATTTTGAATGTTTAAAATTTTTCTTTTTGATATAAATTAATTTTAGAATGGAAGGTTTAACGGCAGCAATTCCTGCGGTCGACCCTTCCAAAAATCTATCTTCTCAAGAATTTCAGGATTTACTAACGTCATGGTTTGAGCAAAAAGGCATCCTTTCAGAATTGAGGACAAACCTGAGATATAAAATGATTAATATACTGAAAAACACCACCATAGGTCGGGATATTATAAGAAAATCACCTCCCAGTTCGATGAGTTTATCAAAACAAGCTGTAAATTTAATTGTAGCGGAATTTCTAATGAGAAATCACTGTGATTATTCCCTTTCTTTATTTAATACTGAAGCCGGTTTGTCTACATCGTTTTCTGATAACATAGTGAACGAAAACAATAAGTTGATAAGTCTACAGTTTGATAGAGAAAATATTTTAAATATTTTGGAATTGATTGGGGTACATAAAACCTCTGATATATGTCAGGAAATTCTTAATATATACTACAAAAACTGTGTCAATATATCATTACTTTCGGCTCTTATCACAGTATTGAGCAAATCCGTGCCAGAAAATGTTCAAGCAAAGAAAGAGATCAATTTAGGTGAGCAAAAACTATTATTTTAATCATATAAGTTCTTTTAAAATATTATGACTGTGTTTTAGTTATGTTCGAATATCATATTTGTGTGATTATATAACTAGGTGTTACTATTAGTACACAATTATGTATTTTTAATCAGTAGTAAGTAATTTTGTTTAGATTTATCAATATGTTTCTATATTGTGTCACCCCAGTAGTATATACATAGTAACTAGCTTGCTTGCAATCTCCAATTTAGAAGACAACTGTGAACTTTGCCTTACCATCTGTTATAAAACATTTGAGGATATAATTGCAAACCATTGTCTGTAAGGCCTCAGATGTATAATTATCTGTTTTACACTGTTGTAAACATTTATTTTGACATTTAGATTTAGACTTTGGAGATCTTTCCTTGAAATATTAAAATTGTGGTTAATTTTCTTTTAGAATAGTAAATGATATTAAAATGTTAGAAGAAAATAACTTCAGGACAATATTAATAGTTTTGGTTATTAAGCATAGAATATTTGTATATAATAATTACTAGCTGACCTGGCAAACTTCGTATCACCTCAGAATTCAATAATATGTCAAAGTTAAGTAAGTTCCTCTTTCAAGTCTGTTAAGTAACAGAAATCTCTGGGTAATGTGATGAATCCTGTTGAGGTGTCCATAGGATAAATTTACTATTAATTATGGGATGGGTCATGAAGCTTGGAATAAAGATAACTCTTGGGGCGAGAAAGAATACTAATGAATTTGAAGTAATAAGTCTTATTTTTTCTTCACATAATAATATGTATTTTCTTGTTAGTGGAGGAAAAGTCTCAAAGTCTTGAACATTTGTACAAAAGTTCTCCTTGATCTCAGGGTAAACAATATCAAATTTGCAGTTAATGGTTTTTCTTCTGCTCCTGATATTTTAAATAACTTGAAACAAATAAAAAAGGAAATGGAGTAAAAAAGAAAAATAAAAATCACATAAATATTCTTCTTAATGTACCAAATTTTGACCCTAGGCAGCTACTCTACATCAAAATATATCTGTTTCACTAAGTATACGCAGATGTCTTTTATGAAGGGGGATGGGTGATCCAAATATTCAACACATATCTCGGTCCTAGAAGGTGGGCAGAACTGCCTTCCAGTCTCGGTTATGAGGTTTCCTCAAGTGTGGCTATGATGATATGCTGGACCTCACACAAGGGTTGTTCGGACACCATCGCTTTCAATACCAGAGACCCACATGCTAAAAAACACCCTCCTCAGTGGTGAATTACTGGGCCAATCACCATGATTGGGATGCAACATTGATACACCATTCTCACGCACTCTAGCACTTTCTCACTCCTTTCTGGTGCCCTCTATTTCCCCCTGTTTTCTTCTTGCTTGCTCCTGGGCATCCTGCCTCCATTCAGGTCGCCTTTCTTCTTGTTCCTTTCTCTCCAGCATTCTCCTCACATATCTCTGAACTGCTCTCCACCAATCTGACAAACTGCTCATCTCCTCCACCAGTTCCGTAACTGATTGCACGCTACATCCTAGCCATTTCTCAAGCAGGCTCCTCTCATTTATCCATCTATCGCATACCAATAGAGTGTGTGAGACAGTGTTTGATATTTCACAGTATAGACATTTGTCATTTTCTGCCTTTTCAAATCTGTAAAGGAATCCCCTGAAGCAACTATGTGCTGTGAGCATCTGCGTCAGGAAGTAATCCAATCGCCGGTACCCGCAATCTATCCATCTTCTCAGATTAGGAATAAACGACTTCGTCCACTGGACGTGGACATTTTTCTTTTTTCATCTACCCTGTTTATGCAATTTCTCATAGTCTCTCTTATTATTGATTTAAGTCCTTCTGCCGATGGCGGTTGGCATCTTTTTCTCTTTATCATCCATCTAGAATACTCATCAAATAGCTTGTTCGTTCTATCATCACCTCTGCTTCCTATTTGGTTCGCTGATGACTTCGCGTTGGTAGTTCCTACCCCGACCATCGAAAAACCGATGTAGGGGTGTTCTGTAGCAGTGTCATCTGGCAGCACGGTTCAGTCTCTAATTCTTCTCGCCGTATTTATTCTCACCATTATTAAAGACAACAAAGTCCAGAGCTTCTATCCATTCCATAAGCATTTGCCCACGAGCATCCGTTCTGGGAGAACCCCACTCCGCCGTTTTGGCGTTCCCCAACATTACACACTCTCTTCCCAATAATCTTACCCCATTCATAATCTCATCCAGTCTACTTTCATAATTCTCCGCTGTACAATTCGGTGCGGATCATGCGTATCAATACCATATACCCACTGTCCATGATACAATGAATCCATGCCTTCAGTCTTCTATTAAGTATCCGCATTCCTACCATGCCCGACGTATCCACGAACCATTCCCTACAGCGCACTAACGTGGGGTTTGGCTCCGCCGCTATAAGGATGGTTTACGACTATCAGGATGGATAGATTACGACTTTCTGGTTTAGTGCAGGTGAACTTACCAATACTTTTTATTTTATACTCACATTGTTAATACCAAATGATAAACCTTTCATCTCTGAACTACCTAGTCTTTACTTATGTATATAAGTACATTTTTTTAACAACCTTGGTCTTAATGTGTACTGATGATGGAGTTAGTCCATAGATAGAAACTTATGTAGAAATGTAATTAGGAAAGCTGACCCTGCGTAGGAATAAAAGCAAAGACAGTGATGATAAGTCCCATATTTTATAATAATCGTACAATGTTATCATTTTTTAAATGTATGCCTAATTTTGTAAATTAATAAATAATGAAACAAATCAATATATCAAAAATTTGTCCATACCTTATATTTATAGATATTACCTACCATCCATTTTTTCCACTTGAGATATTTGATGTAATTGATTGATAAACAAATAGTGCCTTATAAAACACATTACTTTAAATCAATAGTTCATTGACTGACTGTAATATTTCAACCTACTTATGAATTTATTAGCCTCCGTAATTGCTGGTACATTACTGGAGGGTTAATGTTAATGTGTATAGAGGGTGGAACACGAAAAAAGAAAAATATAGCTTATAAAGATAGAAGCGAAGAAATAGCTTAGTTTATGAACCATACAGATTATAATACAAAACGTTCAGTTTTAAGTAAAAAAAAAACAGAATTAAGTCAGTTTTTTTTAAACTATAAAATGTTGCAAGAACAGTGTTATAAAAAATTCCTGTCTATCTTTGCTACCTTATTTTTGTCCATTACACGCCGCTTCAGCGAAATTCTTGGCACCTTGAACATTCGCGCATCGGTTTTGACAGGAAATTTCGCTTAACTTCTTGTATGGCATTTTTCATATGTTCAGCGTCCCAATTTTGTCTGTTGGTTATTCACTTACATGTTCGTGGCATGCTGCTTGAGAGACGTAAAACGAATTTAAAAATCAAAATTAATGTATAAAATAGTTTTGCTGAAACCAAGGGGTAAAATGATCCCAGGATCATTTTGCCCCCTTACTAGAGGATTTTTTTACCCCAAAGTGGCATTCATTCTTCTTCTAGTGCCGTCTCCACTATTGAAGGTTGACTATAACGAATATAAGGAATTTCTGATTTCGGATTCAGATCTTCCGTAATCCAGACTCCTAAGTATTTCATTTTGTCTACTTGCTCAATATTTTTATTTTTTATCTGGATCCTTGTAATAAACTCTTACTGAAAACCATGGTTTTTGTTTTCTTTATCTTCTTCTTCCTAGCCTTCTATCGTCTATGTTTGAACATGGCCTCCTTCCATCGATCTCTATCCTGAGCAAAATATTTCCAATTTAAAATTAATGGGGAAACCCCGTAGTTGGCTGTATACCATCGTTTAAAAAAAACACAGAAGTTAAAACACTTCACACTTGTATTGTGGTATAAAAAACAAATAGTTAAAACTTTTTCAAAAATGGTCGTCAAAATTTATGTACTAGCATAACGTTTTCGATCTGAACAGATCATCCGCAGTGCCTTGTATAATTGAAGCTAACGATAAAGTTATCGCTGATACCTCCATATATGGGTTTACATGATTCCAAATGTTACATTTTAATTATGTTGTGACTCTAGGTCGATGACAATGGATAAATTTTAATTACTTTAGGGACTACATGTCTCCCTGCTCGATTTTTAACACGTGATACTTGATAAAACGACACAGACCAACTGGCTGAGGTGACAGGATGACAGGAATATAATTTAAGAAGATAGCTGAACATGACTAGGTGTAGTTGTGTTCCAAAACTAATGTAATTTTTAATTGTAAAATTATAAAATTTATTTTGTTGTAGTAATAACTAATTATCTTATTAATGATCCTGTAGTTAAAATTAAACTTGAATAAATGATAAAATTTATTGACTTAAATCAGCAAATCTCTATTATTGAAAAAGAAATGAACTATTAAATTAGTGCGATTAATATTTAAGGTTGAATTTATGACATGATGTCATGACGACAAAATGAGGTAGGAAGCAAATCAACTGCACATAGTGGGCACACTCTATATACTGTTTTAAATATTTACCATATTGTGGTATACTACACAAATCCTTTAAATATTCAGTGGTTACTCTATTCTAATCTGCCATATTACAGAGAGTAATTTCCACCAGTTTGCCGGTGATTGACCACTTAAACCATTATATAATTTTTTTCAATCACTTAAAATGCCCACACATCTATCCAACTCGAATACTTCTCCAAACCTAAAATTGACCTTCGTTCGATCTACAAACCAAACGCAAATCACTTCCGCTTACGTCTTCTTCCGATGCCCGTTCGTGCCACCGAACTCAAACAAAAATAAACCACTTTGACCATCTCGCCAAATAACCTTGAAACATTTCCTCAACTTGATTTCAGAAACGTAAAAAAATAGAACGCGATATCTAACACATACCAATAAATTCTTTCTTGGGAATTTTGAATGCGTACACAAAGACAAAAACTCAGGGGCGTACTACAAAATTTTATACATAAATATTTTGTAGTTAAAAGAAATTTAAAACGCTACAAAATAAATGGATTATTTAAAACCGTGGAGATCATTTTACCCCCCCTCTCCTTTAATGTTTCTTTTAATTTATTTGCAGTCTTGTAACACTAACACTAAAAACACAATTAATTTATAACATTTATTTACTGAACGGTACTCTATTTTATTGTTTGAGCATCTACCATTTAATTTATCTTTATATGTTTCCGATTGGCTCTCAGATTACGTTTCTTTCCCAGATTTCAGTAGAAGTTTCGACGTATTTTTATCAGAAGTTGTGGTTAATTCTCTTTAAAAATAGTAAATAATACTAATACAGTGTTATTAATTTACAGATTTATCAACAGAAGTAGACTTCATAAAAAACATCGGAGCACTACTTATAAAATCCAATATGCCTACCAATAACATAATACCTATCATAGAAAACATTAAGTGCCTTTATAAAGTAGAAATCCACAATATAGAAGATAATTACACCAAGATATTAACAAAACTAAAGAGCCATGTAAATGTCAAAGACAAACGGACTAAAGAGATACAAAAACAGAACGAGATGCTGGAACTAAAGATTCTCCAGCTTATAGAAAAGCAAAACGAACTGAGAACACAGGCGAAACGGGCCGTGAAGGAAAAATTATCCAAAGAAAAGGAACTGCTTAAAACTAAACGAGATTTTAAAGAAGACAAGACTGTACCTGAAGCTATTGGAGAAAGAGACTCAAAGACAGAGTGTGCCATTCAACATTGTAGTGAGAGTTGTCGAGAAAATAGTAAATTAATAGGAAAATTACAGAAGGAAAACACAGAACTAAGTAGGAAGAACCAAACTTGTTTAGAAGAAATAAACGACTGGAAAAATAAATATAACAAATTATTATTAGACTTTTCCATGTTTCACACTAAAATAAGTTCTCTAAATTGTAATGGAAGTGTCGAAATTCCCATTTCTTCAATAAATTTGAATCCAAAGATGATTGATTCAATAATTGGCAATGAAAGTAAGTACCATTTGCTACTATTACACTGTTGTACCAGCATTTTTAGGTTATTATATTTCTGGTGTATCTATTTATAGTTCATTACCTATTTGTATTATGAATTTGTTGATATGATTGGTGTATATAGCCTCCAATGTCACATCTCTTTGTTTCATCGTCCATCTTCACATTTTTCGTTATGTCTGAACAATTTCCATTTTAGTTTTAAAGCGTATTCGACAATGTCTGTTGTGTTTGTTTTGCTCCACGCAATAATATCCCTAGTATTTTTCTTTCCATGACTTTTAAGTTTTCTTGATTCTCTTTAAGAGCGTTGGCGCAAAATTTCGGGCCAATGTTTTTTAAATGCATTCATTTTTTTTGAATACTTAGAGAACTAATAAATATTTTTGAAACATTTAAACGCAGAATGAAAGAATATATTATTACCGAGGGCCGAAAGTCCCTGTAAACTTCTATAATGTTTATTTTAATAAGTTATAGTGGTGAAAAAAAGAGAAAATTTAGTGTGATTTTTAATTTTAAATAACTCATTCAAAACAACTTTTTGTTTATTCTAAGGGACTTTCGGCCCTCGGTAATAATGTAATCTTTCATTCTGCGTTTAAATTTTTTTTAAATATTTGTTAGTTTTCTCAGGATGTAAAAAAAATGAATGCATTTAAAAAACATTGGCCCGAAATTTTGCCCCTACGCTGTTAAGTTGTTCCTAGCCTATATCTATGTCTGAATCTCGTATGCCAGAACATATACGATGTATGTGTGGAATAACTTCGTTCTCTATTTACAAATATTCTTTTTCTGCATTTCTACATAAGCCTAAATTAAGTGGTTGTAAACTATAGATTTTAACAAAAAGGCCCTTTATGTTTTGCAACATTTGGTACCTAGAAAATGGAAAAATAGACATATGTAGGGAGTTGGGTTCTTTAAACTTTATTGTTAATGAGTGAAATAGTAAATAATGCATTTGAAAGTGCTATTGAGATGAAATGTAAATAGAACAAAATGTTTTTGTAATGTAATGTTCATGTAGTACTTAACTTATAACTTAAGCATGGAAGGCCCTCTATGTTAAAAAGCAACATTTGGTACCTGAGAAATATAAAAAAGGATAAGTTATAAATTCGTGAGCTTAAGGTGGATAGATAAAGTTAATAGACTTTTGGTGTGTATTGACAAGATATGTAAAAACGACAAAAGTAGATGGGTTGTAGGTGGCTCTGTTAAATTTAACTAAAAATATGTGATGTTTTAATATTGTGAGAAGAGAAAAGACTCTACAAGAGGCTGAGGTCTCCAGATATCCGAAACCAAACCCTGAGGGAAAAATGTATATGAGTAAAATAAGATGTGGTATAAAAACATAATGAAAAGGTGATGATCTAGTTGAAGCAGATATGTGGGGATTGCTGTATATTGTGAATTATGTGTGTTCTTACCGAGTGAAAAAATGAGTGATGTGTGATTATGTTAATTGATGTAGGAGGTGGTCAAAAATATTTATTAATTTAATACTATGTTACTAAGGCGTTGAGATTGATAAGCGAGGATTCAAATGTGTGGCTAGACTTTAAATGGATCATGAAATAATCTGCATATTTGAATATATAGGTGAATATGTATGATAGTGAATGATTTAAAAGGGGGAATGGAATAATTTGCTCTGAATTTAGTTGTGCCGAAAAGTAGCATGTAGAATATTAGGCATAGGGGTCAGACTTAAAGTTTAGATTCCTAGAAAGAAGTGGGAAAAGATGGAGACTTTGATGTATTGAAAAAGAGGTTTGAGTGGACTAAAGAGGATTAATGGGTGACAAGAGAAGAACGAAAAATCTAAATTCTATTGAAGAAGTAAATTGAGGATGTGGGTTAGAGAATAGTTGACGATGGAGCGGAAGGAAGACTCGATTGAATAAGACATTTTCTGTTTTTCTTTAATAATTTCAAGGGCTTGAAACCTACAAGATTTGTTAGTTGGGGTGAATCTTTACCTCAACATTACTAAGCTTTCATTTGATGTTAGTAATGTATTCATCTTTACCCCCAAACAAGAAACAATTAATCTGGTTCACTCTCTTCTAAGAACCAATTCCATCACCTCATGTAGAGTCTTACGTTGCTTCTTCTTCTTCTTTCTAGTATGTAGGCTTTAAAGCCTGTTTCTTCTTCAATATTAGCCTCCTAAATTGTCGCAGCATCTTTTTCTTGGTCTGCCAATACTTCTTCGTCCATTTGGTGACTTATCTCGTGCTATTCGTACTATTCTATCCTCTGCCATTCTACTGATTAGTCTTACGTTGCCATGTTATTAATTCCACTGGTAACTTTAACATCTCAATATATAAGATCAAATAATGTATTAGAAATTTAAACTAATATCATTTAACGGGTTTTTACCCAGATATTTTAGTGGCTCAAAACATGTACACCTAGTAAGTATTAACCACATTTTGTATTAACCTTAGTGAACATTTCTAATTTCACTTTTTCTTTAATTAAATGGTTATATACTTTCAGGTTACACTGATGATGAAATATAGATTCCGAAATCGTTTTGTGATTGTAATATAGCCTGATTGGGTGTTTTAATTATATACCTTATATAAAGGATTTTAAATAAAAAAATTTTGTGTTACGTGGTATACAGCCAGCTACAGGAACTTAGTTTCCTAGCGAATTTTTGTTTAAAATTGTCTTAGCTACATTTTTATTAGGGAACCCTAATATTTTACATTTGCTACAAGTAATATATAGTAAAAAAATTACGTGATAAACAATAATATGGACGTTAACATTAAAAATACTGCATATACTTAATAAAAATTACACGATACCAATATAATCCTATCGTAAGAAAAAGAAATTTTACATAAAATCTGTGACATATAAAATAAAATAATTTAATTAACCCTATAGAGTTAATGAGTTCTTTCTTAAAATATTTGTAAAATATTTCATATGGTTTGGTAGCTTATTAAAGTAACTAAAACTTGTAAAAACCAGAGATTGATTTAGTAAAATTATTACAGATTATTTATTATCGTACATACCAAAGTCATTGACAGATAATGAAACCTTTGCTTAACATACAACCACTCCAAAGTACTCATCATAGTTAAAATATGCGTGAGTTGACTACAATGTAAAAGTACGCGTATTTAGGCCAGGGAAATAAGCAAAAGAAGTATTCGGTTTGTGACACTGAACCGGCCAGGCAAACGACAGTTGTTTTGAGTAGTACTCACCTCTTTAACAAGAACCTATATGATTCCTGCAGTCGATTTTTTGAACTTAGTTATTAACAAATTAAAGTCAAAAAAAGTTTTCACTGTTTTCGTTCATCAGCCAAAAGTAAAGCATTTAAGGGTAATAAACTTATAAACTATACAAAGACCTTTAAAATGGCGTTTTTTAATGTTTTTATTCCTATTTGTTGCACAGAAAGTTGCAAAATAACTTAAAACCTTTTTTTAAATAAACTTAAAACCTTCATATCATACAGGAAGTTGGTTCTTACGGTAGTTAAAGTATGATCAAAATTTTAAGGCGATCGGTCAAATATTTTAAAAGTTATTTAATTTGTTTATTGAAGAACTCTTCAATAGAAGAAGAAGAAGTAATGTACGCACTAAAAAGAATGAAAAATGGTAATGCTCCAGGTCCAGATGAAATACCAACGGAAATCCTTAAACTAATCGAAACAGACTCGATTCACATTTTAGTTGAACTTTTCAATAGCATTTATACATCAGGAAAAATACCACAAGAATGGCTTTTATCCACCTTTGTTATTAAACCAAAAAAGATAAATGCCAAACAATGTAGTGATTACCGTACAATCAGTCTGATGAGCCATGTACTGAAAATATTCCTGAAAATTATACACTCTAGAGTACACAGAAAACTGGAAATGGACATCAATAATACCCAGTTTGGATTCCGAAATGGACTCGGAACAAGAGAGGCGTTGTTTGCACTGAACGTTATGTCTCAAAGATGTCTTGACATAAATCAAGATGTATTCATGTGTTTCATAGATTACATCAAGACCTTTGATAAAGTGCGGCATGATCACCTAATCAGACTCCTGACAGAAAAGAATTTAGATAAACGAGACATTCGACTAATAGCAAATATGTACTAGAATCAGAAAGCAGTAGTGAGAGTAGAGAATAATACCACTGAAGAAATTGAAATAAAGCGAGGTGTGAGACCAGGGTGTATACTGTCACCAACCCTGTTTAATCTCTATTCCGAAGACGTAATGAATAGAACACTCTCTGAGCAATCCGTAGGTATTAAAATAAATGGTGTTAGATTAAACAATCTGAGATTTGCCGACGACACCGTTCTGATCGCAGAAACACTTGAAGAGCTACAGACATTGGTTAATAAGATAGCAGACTGCAGCGAAGAATATGGACTATCTTTGAACATAAAGAAAACTAAATTTATGGTAATATCGAAATCAACACAAAATGTCCAAAATTTATATTTACACAATGAAATTATCGATCGAGTTAGCAAATACAAATATTTAGGCACTTTTATAAATGAAGACAACGATAGCTCATCAGAAATCAAAATAAGAATAGAAAAAGCTAGATCCATATTCACTAAAATGAAGGGAGTGTTTTCTCCTTGAGAGAAATTAAGCTGAGCCTTGAATTTGAGCCTTCAAATGAAACTTCGCCTGATGAGATGGTACGTACTTTCTGTGCTGTTCTATGGAATGGAGTCAGGGACGTTGAAAAAGATTGATATCAAACAATTAGAAGCATTTGAACTGTGGATGTATCGCAGAATCCTGAGAATATCATGGACCGAGAGAGTCACAAATGTCGAGGTCTTGAGAAGAATGAATAAAGAAAAGGAAGTCATATTTATGATTAAAAAACGAAAACTGCAATTCTTGGGACACATTACAAGAGGCGAAAGATATGAACTGCTTCGAATAATTATGCAAGGGAAAATAGCAGGAAAAAGGTCCATAGGAAGAAGACAAAACTCCTGGCTAAAGAATCTACGGGAATGGTATAGCTGTAGCAACAACGAATTGTTTCGGTCAGCAGTTTCGAAAATACGTATAGCCCTGATGATCGCCAACCTTCGGAACGAAGATGGCACTTGAAGAAGAAGAATTTGTTTATTCCAAATTAATTTTTTTTGCAATAAGTCAGAAAATGATAAAGTTTCAATAATTTTATAAATAGTTTATGAAAACAGAAAATTTATTAGATCAAAATTATTTAAAAAATTGAAGAAAAACGATTTTAAATATTGCAAAATAGTTTTGCAAAAACATGTCGATTTTTTGCTTATAAACAATTGAATAACTTTTTAGCTGTTGCCTACACGAAAAAAATTGTTTTTCGAAAAACAATTTCCGTGTATTTTGTTTTTTCACGAAAAGTTACTTTTTTTAATTCAGCTTTGTTTATAACAATTAATATATCTTATTAGCGCCATTTGAAAGAACCTACTTTAAAGTTTTAATGTGACAAATTTGAAAGGGGGTACCTTTCAACAAAACTTCAAAAAATGTGGTCTTCAAAGTCAGCTAGCTTTTAAACTCTTTGGAGCGATGGAGGGGGAAGGATCTGTTAACCGTATCTCTGGTTCTTGTTTATGGATTTTGACGTTTCTTTTTTTTAATTTGTATGTACTTTTTGCGTACATTACGAATATGTATTTTTTAAATAAATAAATAGTTAAATATACCATCTCATTTGTTTAAACGATTTTTTTTTTCAATTTTTAATTTATTTTTTGTCTAAATAAATATTGCGTTTTGTTTATGTTTTTTTTTTTAGAAAATAATTCAAAATCCGTTGAAAGTACCGACAGTTCAACAGACGAAATCATTCGCGATGCCCGCAAGAAGATAAAAGTACTGGAAGAAGAAAGCCAAGAAATGGAAGAAATATTTAAAAAGAGCCAGACAAAAAAGAAATGTAAGGTTTTATGATCGGATCTTTGTAATAGATACATAGAAAAATTTTAAATTTTGCACCATTGTGATTTTAGTGTTTACGACAAAGGACCAAAGATGGGATCTCAATAGTTGTTGATAAATTTTGACTGTGTTAAAGAAAGATATCATGAACTGAAAGTATTTATAATAGTTATGTACTGCCAAGGAAGTTCTGATTTAAAATTTTCATGTTATATTTTCAAAATAAATTGTTGAACTTTTCTGTTCTGTTGTTATTTTACGAAAATTAGTTGTTGTTTGTCCATATAGTTAATATGAGAAAATTAATACAGCTATAGAAGAAAACACAAGCATGAATCCGAAAACGGGAAAAAATAACAAAACTTCAAAGGAAAAGCGGGATTATATATGTAGGGTTTTATCTTGTTATCTAGGGTTTAACTAAATGGTCACAGGTCGATTCGAAATTAGAACAAACACCTTATTGTTGAACTCGTAAATTACAGGAATGAATATACAACTAACTAATGTAACTATAGCTTAAAATAGGACCGCGGCTCAATAGCAAAAATATGAACGTCGTTTAGAGATGAGATGCCGTCTTATGTATGTCAACTCTTCGTCGTGAGTGCTTTTCTTACACTCTGTACTCGAGCCCCGTCAATTTACTATATACAGCGTTTTATTGTTTATTAAGCAATGCAGCTTAACTATTAAGCAATGCAGCGGTTCGTGATAAATGGAAGTTAGAAATGGGTTACGGAAATAATTTTTTATTTGATAACGAATGCAAACCTACACACGGCTATCCTATTCAGAATCCGACTCGGATTCGTCGCTTTCATTGTCGACCCACGGTTTCAGATACTCAGCACACGTTGATGTTCGTATTGGCCCCTGATGCTCACCAATCTTTACGATGGGTTACGGAAATAATTTTTTATTTGATGACGAATGCAATTCTACATATATGTAATAGAAAAAGAGTAATGTAGATTGTTAAGGAGAGATAATGTAAATACTTGTCCGTAAATCTCTGTAGAAGGAGCATAGCATCTTGTCTTATAATCTGTGGAGCATAATATACTCTGAATAAATAGAAAAATAATAGAGCACCAGGAGGGGATAAATTGTAATCGAAGCAGTGGCGCACCCAGAATTTGTCTGAGAGGGGGGGTGTTTGAAATTTTTTTATGGTACGTCCATTTTGAGTCCTTAAAATTTGGGTTTTAGTTTAATTTAAAGTACTAAAGATAGCAGTGCCAAAGATTCAGGTATCTATTATCCTGCCTACCCTCTTACTTGTGCGCAGTTGACAGTCACACGTACCGTACTCCGAAAGTGGGATGGCCGCTGTAAGGCTGACGACATTTGTGGAACACTCCCTTCTCTTATCTAGATCTTATCTATTATTCTAAAGCTATTTTCTTGTGGCATTTTAAAGTAATTAGTATTTTAATGGGAATAATCCACAATTGCAGGTTAAAATAAGTTTATTGATGTTTAGCATTAATCCAATTTGTAAATACAATACATTTTGGAGACAGCTATCGCTGTATTCTCGTTCTCCTCCGCCAATTCTCATGGTCCAAGCATGCTTCACCTCCAAACCTTTCGATTCCATCGCTCTTCTAGTTCCTTTATTCCATGAGCATCGAGGTTTACCTCTTTTTCTTCTTCCAGGAGGCTTCCATCTGTGAAGTTTTTGGGGCCAACGTTCGTCAGGCATTTTGAACCTTCTATCTATTCTGTCAATGATCGTTTCTGTAGCATTCATGTTATTTCTTATAGATTTGTTGGTCTTCTTTTCCTGCTTTGATGTTCTAGCACTTCTTCTGAAATAATTCATTTCAACTGCCAACAATCTTCTCTTCGGTCTGCATTGTCTATACTATAGCAATTGTCTATACTTCCGAGCCATAACAAAGAACTGATTCAACCAGGTTTGCCATATTCTTTTTTGTTCCTTTTGGGAATGTTGCGATCCCACCATAAGGAGTTCAGACATTCTACAATTTTACGTCCCTGATTAATTCGATGTTTAATTTCAGTTTCTCCCAAGCCGTTCTTAGCAATAAGTGCACCTAAATATTTAAGTTTTTCCACTTGTTTGATTTCCACGTCCTCGTCTATCAACACTTTAAACCTTGCATCTGAAGTGATAACTAAATATTCTGTTTTCTTCATGCTGACTTGTAACACCCATTTTACATTATTCTCTGTATATACGCTTTATCATAAATTCTAAATAATAAGAAGCTTGAACTAGGACGACTTTGTTACCCGTACAGTTGAGGGAGAATAGTACGTCATTTCCTATGGGGATTCCCATTCCCTGGCAGTGGTTTTTCCAATTTTTGAGGGCTGCCTCAAAAAATAAATTAAACAGTAAGGGTGACATACTGCATTCTTGTTTCAGTCCTTTAGTTACTTTTATTGGCTCTGATAGTCTATTTCCGATTTTTAGGTAAGTAGTGTTATCCCTGCCTACTTCTGTGATTATTACTAAAAGGTATAGACTAAATCTCGAGTTGTTGTAAAGCTTGCCACAAATTAAGTCAAGGAACTGTATCATATGCCTTTTCTAGATCGATGAAGGCTAGATGTACTTCGTTACGAATCGCTATTGACCAATTGCTTTCCATTGATCTTTCCCTTTTTTCTTTTTTTATAGCTGTTGTCAAATCCTCTCTTTTCTCATAGAGATGTCTATTTTCTACTGCTAATTTGGATTTTTTGTATTGTGTGTGATAAACAAGTTACATTTTCCTACTATTCTTTATATATTTTTTACTTTATATGCCCGGGGAGGAGGGGGATTAACCCCCCACAGGCGCGTCACAGAATCGAAGATATTAAATTAAATGCATCAACAGTGAAACAGAATATTAAAATTTTTTTAACCTATGTCTGGTTATAATACCCGAGGACTGGATAAATGCACTGATCCACAAAAAAGGTGATATACTAGACTCATTTCTAAATATCTAGTAAATTGGGAAATTAATTGTTTGCTACGTTACTCAAATTTTGAATTTGAAAATTAATAGGGGAATAAGGGCCCCCCAGCTTTATCTAAAGTATTTTTGTAATTATTTGGATATTTTATTCCAAAATAAGGGAGTAAATGAAAGAGAATGTAGTGCAGTATGTTCGAATATAAGAAAAAAAAAATATTCTGCGGGTTTTTCAACAAATAAGAAAATACTCCAATGTTCCAAGATGTTCCGAAAGATTTCCTCGCTCAGTACAATTAACCCTTTTAGAACCAGCGGCGGCCGGCCAGGTGAAGCATGTGAAGGTGAGGTTCACCAAAAAAATATAATTAAATTGAGACAAATAAATTAAAAATTAAAGCAACATTATTATATCTAAATTCTGAAATTAATTATTTATTCTCTTTTAATTAATTTAAAAATTAAAAAGGATAACTAGCTTTATTAGCGGTAGGTACTTGATGGTTAAGTCCTGACCTCTGTCACTAGCCGTGTACGATTCAGGAATAGGTGAATATAATTTTTGAAATGCTGAATCCATCTGCACAAGCGTTCACGGTTGCCATGGCAACGTGACGTCACCCTGTCGTTAGTGATAGCTGAGAAAACTGGGAAGTGCAGATCAATTGAAAAATAAACTAATAAACTAACCACTAGTTTAATGTGTATGTAGTATTTCTATTTTTCGGAAATTTCTCTCGACGCTTAAGCGTCTATATTTTTTGCCTATTTATGTTTTCTAGTGGATCGGTTGTTCCACGGTTCCAACTGTAAAGATCAGTTCCGCGTAATCGGTTCCAGGATTAGACACAAAGACCATCTACTCCAATGGTCTTGGTCTCCAATTGGTGTAAATGGTCTTTGATTAGACAGCCATCACTATTAAATTTATTAAAAGTTTACGTTCATTTTAATACTACTTACTAAAACTTCGTCTGATAAAGTAGCCAATAAATTTTTTACATTAAAAGATTCATACTATAATTGTTGAGCGTAATACTGGTTGCATATAAATTTCAACACATTTTCACTTGGAAAATGATTTAAAAAGAAATAGATTTCCTTGAGTTCTTGACATTCACAAAGAAAGCATTGGATTTTGAGGTTACGTTGATCTGACCGACGATTTTTTTTAGACATTTAAATTTTGTTATGTGTGACAAACAAAGCAGTATCTCCCCCTCCTGCGATTCTATTTGGAAAAATGTTGATTAATTCTAAGTAATCTCTAATGTAATATAGTTATCTCTATTTAAGTGTTTAACAGTTTTTAATTGTGTAAACAATTGGTTAATGTACATATCTAACAAATTTGTGTATAATATAAAGTGCTTTTGGAATTTTTAACACATTCAACAATGGGTAAAGTAAAAGAGACACTAAAAGAAGCTGCGATCCAGATTGGATCTGGGGGCTCTGCAGGTAAGTCTTTAAGGATTAATATAATTTGTATGCACTAACATTTTTTGTTTTTAAGGCTTTGTGGAAGTTTGTATAATGCACCCCTTAGATTTGGTAAAAACTAGGCTTCAAATACAGTCTAGAACAATGGACCGAAATGACCCCAGATACTATAAAGGCATTATAGACTGCTTTGGAAAAATGTATAAGCACGAAGGAATGTTTTCCTTCTGGAAAGGAATAGTGCCCCCTATTTTAGCTGAAACCCCAAAAAGAGCTGTTAAAGTATGTGAACTTGTGTGAAGTGCTACATCCATGTACTTATTTTGTATGTTTTCAGTTTTTTACCTTTGAACAATACAAACAGTTCTTTATGTTTGGATCTGCTACCCCAACCCCTCTAGTAAGTATTATTTTTTTTAACATTCCAAGCTTTTAAAGTTATTTTTTCTCCTTCATTTGTTATTGAATAAAATATATTTTTTTTGTTATATAATTGTCTAATTATAGAATCAATTCTGCAATATTTTAAATACAGGGCAAGGTTGTTTTGTTAATTTTTTTTGTATTTTTGCCAATATTGAAAAATACATAATCACAGTAAAAATTGGGTTGGATTTCCCAATCTCCTGAATGAAGCCATGCTACTTTTGTCTCTTTGTGATCTATAGTCTACACATATTCCATTTTTAAATAAGTATATGGTTTTACATTTTTAAAAAATTTAAAAAATATAATGTCAAATATAATTAAATATGGGTCAGAGATAGATGAGACTACCCATCCTTATACATAATATGATGAATATATATTAGTTCATTTATACCCTAATTTGAATTCATAAAATTTCCAAAATACAGGATTTACATTGAACTCATGTTTAATATATTTTTTTATGTTTCAATGAAACAAATTTTCAAATGATATATATATATATATATATATATATATATATATATATATATATATATATATATATATTATGATTTTAACTGAGGATTATTTATTTCTCCTGGTCATTTCAAATTATCAATTTAAATACAAAAGTCTTTTTATACAAGGTCAGTTATAAGGAATTGTCAAAATTATAAGAAATGTTTAGAAGCAAAAAAAGAAACAATATTTTACACAATATGCGATATTTGTCACCCCTATAACAGAAAGTCTTTTGGTAAATTCATCATATGAGACATTATATGATTTGTTTACTGGAAATTATTACATAAATACACTTTTAACAATAATCGAGGCCAGCGATCAATGATAGATTTTATAATCACAAATCAAGTGATAACTCCGTCACAAGTACTTGATGTCAGAGCACTAACATCTGCTAACCTGGGGACTGATCATAACCTCGTTTTATGCAAGAAGCTACTAGAACGTCCGCAACGAAACAGAAAACCCCCAATGTTCATCGAAAAACATAATATAGAGTCGCTAGCAACAGAGAGTACAAAACTGCTTTATGAGAACAGGATTACCAGCAAATTAAAAGAGATTGACTTAAAACCCGAATGGGGAGTAGAAGAAAAAAAATTAAGAAATGCATCAACGAAGCAGCAGAAGAAGCGATTGGAAAGCGGAAAATTAACACGAGAGCGACAAACCACACCAAACCTTGGTTTTGCCAAGAGGTAAAAGAACTCTCTGAATTAAAACGCAAATGCTACCTGAGATATAAAAGCACGCAATCCGAAGAAGCTCATGCAGAATATGTCCAAATAAGAAACGAAGTAAATGCTAGAATAAAATCAATCAAAAGAGAACATTGGGCCAAATTCACTTGAGACATGGACTACGACCTATATGGTGCCCAAAAGAAAGTATGGAAAATGCTCCGCAACAGGAAAAAACCAGTTAACGAGTTCGTGCAGACCAAAGGAGTACCTATAGAGACATGGCAACAGCATTTTAAAGAGCTATATGATTCTGAAGAAACGCTGAATATAAACGAAGGCGAAACAGATGTGAGTGCTACAATCAATAACGAAGAAGTAGAAGCAAAGATCAAAAAGCTAAAAAACAGAAAATCACCGGGAACGGATGGTATATCCAATGAACTTTTAAAATATGGAGGCCCGGAACTTGCAAGTAAACTAGCACAACTATTTAACAAAATATTAAACAAAACAGAAACACCAGAGGAATGGCATAATAGTATCACAATCCCCATATTTAAAAAAAGACAAAAAACCTGCCCACAAAACTATAGAGGAATAACCATCTTAAATACAACAATGAAACTTTTCACGGGTATTCTCAAGGACAAATTGGAAAAGCAAATCACTAATGCTGAAGAACAACAAAGTTTTACAAAAGGGCGGTATATAACAGACGCAGTATTTATAATAAAACAAATAAAAGAAAAAGCTATAGAGTTCGGCATGCCAGCGTATATTTGCTTCATTGATTTGACGAAGGCATTTGACAGAGTTCGCCTGGGAGACATTCTAAATATATTAATAGAAAATGAAACACCGACCAGTATAACAAAGATACTCCATAAACTAAATAACAACAACGTAACCAAAGTTAGAGCAGGAGACGAATTCACTGAAAATATTCCAACACCGGGAGGAATTAGACAAGGCGACAGTTTAAGCCCCTTCTTGTTTAATCTTCTCATGGGCAAAATTATCAACAAAGTAACATCTCTTAATCTCGGATATAGAATGGGCAACAAAAGAATTGGTATGGTGTGTTACACAGACAATGCAGCAATTATTGCCGAATCAGAAGATGATCTTCAAAGGCAGCTCTTTCAGTTCTTTCAAACAAGCCGACTACTAAATATGAACATCTCTACCAACAAAACTAAATGTATGACAATAGCAAAAGATCCGCTCAGATGTAAGTTAGTGGTTGAGGACAACCCCATAGAACAGGTGATGCAATTCAGATATCTGGGCATAGATATATCAAGCACCCACGACCCAGTAAAGGACCTGAGGAGTCAGATCAACAAAGCATCTGCACTGTCAGGATGTCTGCGGGAGATAGTCTGGTCAAATCCGTATATGAGCACAGATAGTAAAATTAGAATCTATAAGACTTGCATATGACCGATCATGACATATGGCATAGAAGTGCGCGAAGATACTAACAAAACGAAACAGATGCTAAGGGTTGCCGAAATGAAAACCCTAAGAACAATAATGGGGAAAACAAGAAGAGACAGAGCGAGAAATACAAACATTAGAGAGCAGTGCAAAATTCAAGATATTGTAAGATGGGGAAGGCAGCGCAAGAGGATGTGGTACAACCATGTAAGACGAATGGATGAGAATAGACTCCCAAAAATTGCCCTAGAAAACAATCCGCCCGGTTCAAGACCCCCCGGAAGACCACCTAAAAGATGGAGGGATAGTTGGCAATCTACCTCCCAAGAAATTAACCAGAGGCAGCTTCAGAATTAAACAGATCGAAAGATCTACAAAAAGTAGAAGAAGAAGAAGAGAAATTATTACAGTATTGTACTGTTTTTACTTTTAATATAAATTTTATTATAGTTGTAAATCAAATAGACAACCACATGTATTAACTAAATAACACAAAAAAACTTACAAGAAAGTCAAAACTTCTTCCAGTTGGCTACGCTATGGGTGAAATACTGGCTCTGAAGATCTCAGTCAATGTTTTGCTGAGCCAATGTTGCAGGTTCTTTAGGCAATAATTTTGTATTCTTCCTATTAACTTTTTTCCCTGAATTTTTACTTCAATGATCAATCAAAGTTTTCATATCTATCTCTCCTTATTACTTACTCAATACTCTTTATTCATGTTAAAAATTTGAATCTTAAATCTTCAATGTTGTCAATATTCATGAATTGAATAAAAGGAATTTTTATCAATTTTTTTAATTGTATTTTATTTTCAAATTTCTTTTCATGCAAGTTTCTAATATTTTCAGGCAGAACATTAAAACATTTTATTGCCCAATACCCTGGTCTATTTTGACACCTTTTCAAATGCCAATATGCTGATATCATATTCTGTTTGTGTCTAGTATCATAACCATGTTGATGAAAAATTGGCATTTTTCTTCATGAATCGAAGGTTTTCAAGAATGTTTTGTGCTGATACAGTAACAATGTCCAATCTTTCATAAGCATGACAGCAGGCTTCTCTAAATCCCAAATCAGCAAGGACCCTCACTGGATTTCTCTGCAGGACCAAATACTCTGTGATTGTTAGCTGTTTATTATGGTATTTTTTGTTTTGATCAACTTTACATTCAGTCCAAGATTGTCACTGGTGTTTTTATTTTTTTAAATTATTGATAGTATCCCATACTGTATTGAAAGTGACTTCTGAGCAAGAAAATTTATTTAACATATTTATTTGAGTTATATCTATTTGATTCAGATTTGAAACTGGAATATCTTTGAACAAGTTAGATGCTATCTGTGAAAAGTAATCATTAAAGACATTTGGAGTGATATTAGGAGGTTGGCTAGTATTTTTACTAGTAGGAGGAACACCGTGATGTTCAATTATGATTTTCCACATAGACTTTATTGGATTACTGGAATTCTTGATGATGTTATTTGCCATGATTTTTGCATTCCGTATTGTAAGTTTGTATTGCATTTAAAAGTCTTTATATGTCCTCTCAATGTCTGGTGACCAATGCTGTTTTAAGCTATTCTAAAAAGTGCAGTTGATCACGCATAGGAAAATCAAACTTATTAGTTTGATTTTCACTTATCTTATACCTCTTCTCTGGGAAAGATTCATTTTATCAGTTTGATTTTCTGTTACCTTATACCTTTTCTCTGGGAAAGATTCCAAATAAATTTCTTCCAGAACATTCATAAATCTGTTCTAAAACTTCTTATTCTCATACTTGGCTAATGTATGTTACTTTATGCTCTTTGATCATTGGCCAAACTTATGCATTATCTTAAGAACTTGGGTGTTTGTTGTTCTTTTGTTTCAGGGAATATATTGTATTCTCCCATAAAGGTGCATTTCAAAAGCTTTGATGCATTTTTCCAGCGAGTGGTTAAGAGTACAGCTCTCACAGCTTTAGAGAAGAATTGGGAGTATATAAAAGTACGGTATTCTGGAATTCTCATGTTTAGATCCTCATTGTTAGAAGTTTTTTATTCCGATAAATGTCTTCCCAGTCTGTTAAATTCTTGATAGAACCGCTTTCATCAAGTTTTTTATTCTGATAAATGTCTTCCTATGTTAAATTCTTCCTAGTCTGTTTAATTCATGATATGACCTCTTTCATTGAATCGCAAATACTATTCATTATTGCCACAGACATTTGATGGATGACACCTGTTTAGCTATTCAGTCATGTATTCGGAGACTATCGTGTGTTTTTAAGTTTAGGTTGGTGATGTTCACATTGCAACGATCTAGAGAACCTATATATATCTTAAAATTTTA